CCTGTTGGCATGATGCTCCTTGTAATGAGGCAAGATACTTTTGTTGTAAGATGATACCCGAGGACATGTGGTTCTACTAGCTAATTCAAGACGATGGAAACTGATTATAAGATCTACAAACTCCGCTGCCTTGGTGTTAATAAATGCATTCTGGGAACCAAATTTTGCCAACTTCCTTTTTTCTGCCAGCTTCCTACTTGTCCTTATCATCTTGACAAAATATATCTCACACCATCTGAAAAAAATTATTGAGATTGTGATAAGTTACACAATACTAACTTCTTCCCCCCCTGTAATATATCATTCTTTATATACCGCTGCCCCCTGCCGCAGGGAAGCGGATCCAATTAGATGGATCCGCCCCAGGCGCCTGATGGATCCTGAGAGGTTCCAGATGGAGCTTGGGCCATTTCCTGAGGTTCTAGCACATGACTCGGCCGAGGACCTGGTAGCCGCCTGGGATCGGGCAGCTGGTGGGGCCTTGGACCAAGTCGTGCCTTTGCGGCCTCTGACCCAGTGCTGATCCCGTGCGGCTCCTTGGTTCACTGAGGAGCTGAGGGAAATGAAGCGCTGGAAAAGACGCCTGGAGAGCGGTTGGAGGGCCAGTCTCGCTGAATCTGATCGAACACTGGTAAGGTCGCATATTAAGGCCTACCTAGTGGCGATAAAGATGGCAAAGTTTAATTACTTTTCCGCCTCTATTGCGTCATCAGGGAATCGTCCGGCCGCCCTGTTTAGGGTGACCCGCTCTCTGCTCCATCCGGGAGTGAGGGAGGATCCCTTGGAAGGCAGGGTGGAGGATTTTGGACAATACCTGTATGACAAAATCGCTCAGATCCGGGGGGATTTGGACTCTGACTGGGTAGATCAGGGCAGAGTGACGAGGAATAGTCTTGAGAATGTTATCTGGGAGGAGTTTGACGCTGTGACTCCTGATGATGTGGACAGGATTTTGGGGAGACTTAGTGCGGCCACATGTTTACTGGACCCGTGTCCCTCCTGGTTGGTACTGGCCTCCCGGGAGGTTACACGAGGCTGGCTCCAGGGTGTTATCAACGCTTTTCTGAGTGTGGGCCACTTCCCCGCTGCCTTGAAAGAGGCGGTGGTGAGGCCTCTCCTCAAGAAGCCATCCCTGGATCCGGAAATATTGGCCAACTACCGTCCTGTCTCCAACCTTTGCTTCATGGCGAAGGTTATTGAGAGTGTGGTCGCGCGACAGTTCCCACAATTCCTGGAGGAAACATCTTATCTAGATCCGTTCCAGTCGGGTTTCAGGTCTGGGCACAGCACGGAAACGGCATTGGTCGCGTTGGTTGATGATCTCTGGAGGGCTCGGGACAGGGGCTGCTCCTCTGTTCTGGTCCTGTTAGATCTCTCAGCGGCTTTTGATACCATCGACCATGGTATCATGCTGCACCGGCTGGAAGAGTTGGGGGTGGGAGGCACCGTGTTGCAGTGGTTCTCCTCCTTTCTCTCCGACCGGTCGCAGTTTGTGTTGGCAGGGGGGCAGAGGTCGACCTCGAGGCCTCTCATCTGTGGAGTGCCGCAGGGATTAGTTCTCTTGCCCCTTTTGTTCAACATTTATGTAAAGCCGCTGGGCGAGATCATCCGTGGCTTCGGGGTGAGATACCACCAGTACGCTGATGACATCCAGCTGTACATCTCCACCCCAGGCCACCCCAATGATGTCCCTGAAGTGATGTCCCAGTGCCTGGAGGCTGTGCGGATCTGGATGGGGAGGAACAGGCTCAAGCTCAACCCTTCCAAGACTGAGTGGCTGTGGCTCCCGGCATCCCGATATAGTCAGTTGACTCCATCACTGACTATTGGGGGCGAGTCTTTGGCCCCCACAGAAAGGGCTCGCAATCTGGGAGTCCTCCTGGATATGCAGCTGTCCTTGGAGGAACATCTGACAGCTGTAACTAGGGGGACCTTTTGTCAGGTTCGCCTGATTCGCCAGTTGCGGCCCTTTCTTGATCAGGATTCCCTGTGCACAGTCACTCATGCCCTCGTCACCTCTTGCCTTGACTACTGCAATGCTCTCTACATGGGGTTCCCTTGAAGAGCACCCGGAGGCTCCAACTGGTCCAGAATGCAGCAGCGCGGGTAGTGATGGGGGCAGCATGGCGCTCCCATGTAACATCGCTCCTGCGCGAGTTGCACTGGCTCCCAGTGGTCTTCTGGGCGCGCTTCAAGGTGTTGGTTATCACCTTTAAAGCGCTCCATGGCATCGGGCCTAGCTATCTTCGAGACCGCCTGCTGCTACCGACGACCTCCCATCGTCCCGTGCGCTCCCACAGAGAGGGCCTCCTCAGGGTGCCATCAGCCAATCAATGTAGGCTGGTGACCCCCAGGGGGAGGGCCTTCTCTGTGGGGGCACCTACCCTCTGGAATCAGTTGCCCTCAGAGATAAGGAGAATCCAAGACCTTAGTGCCTTCCGCCATGCCCTTAAAACCCACTTTTTCCAGCAAGCCGGGCTGGCTTAAGAAGAAATTTTAAATGTTTTAATTGGTTTGTATTTTTAATTTTGGGCCAAATTTATATATATTTTAATTGTTTTTAATATTTGTATTTCATGTTTTTTTAATTCTGGTTGTACACCGCCCTGAGTCCTCAGGGAGAAGGGCGGTATATAAATTTAATAATAATAATAATAATAATAATAATAATAATAATAATAATAATAATAATAATAATAATAATAATAATAATAATAATAATAGTAATATCATCATCCTTTAGTGGCTGAAGGGAGGCCAAGATGTTACAAGGATAAAGAATTATAGATCAATTTCATTACTAAACAATGACTATAAACTTTTTGCTGCAATTTTGGCAGAAAGATGAAAGAAGATTTTGCATTTATATATGGCTTTCTGCCAAAATGACTTGGTGCTTGAGGTGGAAAAGAAGAAAAATTTGATTTTGGGTTTTACCAATTAGACGGTTTTTTTGTTATAGAAATGGCTAGTTTATACTACTTTGTAAAAGTAAAAAGTTGAGCTTTGATGTTATTATTTTATTCTATTGCACCAAAGGAAGTCAGAAGTTAACAAAAACAAAATTAATAAAACTTCACATTTTCTTTATGTGGATGACCTGAAGCTTTATGGAAAAATCCCATCACTGACAAACATTGTAAGTATTTGTGGGGCAGAGATGTAGCAATGGAGTTTGGCTTCAATGTGCTTCAGTAGCAATAAGGCAGGCTAACCTCATGACCGATAATGGAACTGGGATGCCAAATGATCAAAGAACCCATCAGGAGCCCTCAGGAGGAAGCTTACAAGTATCTAGGGATTTTACATTTCTGGATCACTTGCATGGACAAGTTAATAATCCGATTCGTAAAGAATACAACTGAAGACTGAGAAGACAAAATTGAGCAGTGGAAACAGCATCAATAACTGGGCCAACCTGTGATCCAATAGACAGCTGGAAATATTAACCGGACACAAACTGAACTGGACAATTTGAACCAAAAAATAAGAAAACTGATGACTATTCCCTATGTCAGCCCTGGAGGCCATCTTAAACTCAAACAATGGCATCTCCGGACCCCTCCATAATTGGATAACTGCGTTCCTGTCAAACAGACAACAAGTGGTCAAAATAGGGAGTGCCCTATCAAATCCTGCACCTGTTAATAGTGGTGTCCCCCAAGCAATGTTCTAGGACCATAAATGATCTATGTGATCATATGATAAGTAACTGCGTTCTCTTCGGTGTTGATGTAAAAAAATTTAACACCACCGACAATGCTGCTACCCTTCAAAAAGACCTTGACTTTGTGTTGGAATGGTCAAACAATTGACTCCAAATCTCAACCAACAAATGCTCTGTTTTACACATTGGCAAAAAGAATCAGAAGTTGAATGGATATGACCTTGTAGATGACCTTCACTCTGTCAAGAACCTTGGAGTACTCATCTCAAATGATCTACACCTCTGGAGAGATCTCCTCTTCTCGAGTGACAGCAAGTTTGCAGAGCAAGCAGTAGCAATAGTTCTTAGACTTATACACTGCTTCACAGTGCTTTTACAGCCCTCTCTGAGCGGTTTACAGAGTCAGAATAATAGCGGAGTCATGACAGCATGGTCTGCTCTGAGAAGTATCTCTATGATTCTTTTCCACCTTTATTTATGAGAAAATTGTTGGTTGGATTCTTTTTTCTTTTATTTTTGCCTCATGATGCCTATGTCTGCATTTATGTTGTTTGAAGGAGACAACAAAGAAATGGAAATTTGGACAATTGTTTGGGATTTTGTATCTTCCCTTAGTGGTTGGGGAGTGGGTGTTGTCTTTTATTTTGCCAAAAACAAAATAAGCTTAAAAATTAAAGGAAGTTAAAGATTGATGAATGATGAAATGAATCTTAATAAAACTGTAACTAATTTCCATGGCTTCTATTTACACTACATTTTAAAAGTCCAATTTCACTTCAGTTCGATCTTCTTTTCTCTTTTTTAATTCCTGCTTTCTATTCCTGTCCTGTTCAAGTCTTATACTTTTATTCCAGATTTCCCCCTTATTTGCTCCTTGGTTGGGCTTCCTGGTGTTTTCTCCTGAATCTTTGATCCATCTGAGGGAAATGGCTGAGAGAACAAAGATGCCTTTCTCCACTCATTTCTTTCAGCTGCTGCACCCTTTCCGGAGCCTCTCCTCATCAGGGCAGTCTATCTTTCAGTTGCAATCTTCACTTTGACTCCTGTCTTTGGCTCTGTTTATTAAGCCTAAGGCCTGTGGCAGTAGAGCTTCAGGCAGCCAACTAATCATGAAGAGGCCTATCCAGAATCACCTGAACCTTGAGGGCCAAAGAGCTTTGGCTCTTTTTATTTGGCTACTTCATGAGGCCTATGGTGGCAAAGCTTCAGACAGCCATCTTGTCTTCCCTCCTTCTCACCGCCTGCCTAGCAACAGCCCTTTGATTGGGCGCTACTATTTGATTGGCAGCTGGATCAACCTGTGGACAGCCACAAGGCGAGGGAAGAAGGAGCACAAGGGCCTATCCCCTGCTCAGGGAGGCTGTTCTTCCATGACAGATGTCTGCCTGTGGGCCGACTAATCATGAAGAGGCCCATCCAGAGTCACCTGAACCTCGAGAGCCAATAAAAGAAAAGAAGCGGTTTTGGCGGGAAGGGTTGAGGTATCATTGGGGAAGGAGGGCAGCCATGATGGGTCCCCTCAGGGAAGGCTGGAAACTGGCTTGGTTATAGTTCAACTTGTGTGTTTTTCCACTGATTCTTTGTGCATAGATCCATTTCTTTCTTGTCTTTTCTTTGTCTAGGTCACGCTGCTTGCCCATTTCTGCCAAGGTCTTTCTCTCTACATTTTACAACCATTTTCTGCTTTCATGGCCACTTCTCCCATCAGTGCATCAGGGACAGAACTTGTGTCATGAAGCATGACTCACATCGAGATATTTACGACTAAAACTTGGCTACTGCAGGCAACCCTGTGTATGGGTCTCGACTAAAGGGAATAAATAACTGGTACTTGTTGGGTTTTTGGCATTCTCTGAGGTTGGTTTCCTGCTTGCAGATGTTTGAGAAGAGGGCTAGATAATTTCATCAGTATTCTGATGATATGAAGTGAGGTCTAATGGCTGTTTATATAACAATAACAGAGCTGGAAGGGACCATGGAGGTCTTCTAGTCGAACCCACTGCTCAAGCAGGACAGCCCTCTACCATTTCAGACAAATGGCTGTCCAGTCTCTTCTTAAAAGCCTCCAGTGAGGGAGCCCCCACAGCTTCTGAAGAAAAGCCATTTCACTCATTAATTGTTCTAACTGTTGGGAAATTTCTCCTTTGCTTTAGGTTGCTTCTCTCCTTGATTATTTTCCATCTGTTGCTTCTTGTCTTGCATTCTTCTGCTTTGGAAAATAGGTTGCACCTCTCTTCCTTGTGGCAGCCCCCCAAATATTGGGAGATGTTATCATGTCCTAGTCCTTCTTTTCATTAAACTAGGCATACCCATATATCCTTCGGCCATCTAATGAGAAGGAAGGACACACTGGAGAAGGATTCACTGAAGAGCCTAATGCTGGGAAAGATTGAGGACAAAAGAAGAAGGGGACGGTAGAGAACGAGGTGGCTGGATGGAGTCACTGAAGCAGTCGGAGTGAGATTAAATGGACTCCAGAGGATGGTAGAGGACAGGAAGGCCTGGTGGAACATTGTCCATGGGGCCGCGATGGGTCGGACACGACTTCGCAACTAGTCGTGGGGTTATACACAACCTGGTGTTATATGCCTGTTGGTGGCTCATTGGTCAGAGGATTGTGGTTCTAGAAAATGTTTTACATTGTTGGAGCTACACAATCATCCTAGCCAAAGCCAGCAGCACCAGAAGACAACCAGGGGTCATTTATAACATATAATGTGGGGATGGTGAACCCTCCATGTAAGCAAAGAGGTAGGATGTGGGGTGGCCACATCCACGGACATCAAGCACTGTTGGTGTCATTTGTATCCTTTTTCTATTTTCTTCCAGAATTGTTGTACTTTTAATTTTTGTACGAGATATATTTTATATTGTATTTTTCAGGTGAACTTCTGTGAGTCGTTTTTGATGGCAGTAACATAGTAATATATTCCATAAATAAATAAAATAGGCACAGAACCTAACAAACACGGCCCTCCCCGATAAGTCCATCTCTGAATAGGATGAGTTTGCTTACTGGATGGATTCACTTCAAAACATTTTTCTTCTCATCCAAGAAGCTTCCTCAGTTCTCTTTTTCTTCAGAACTGAAGAAGCTTCTTGGATGAGAAGCAAAACACCTTCAAGGAAAAACAAAGCCCAGTTGCCTTTTGAAAAAGCAACTTTGGGATACCCATGACCCGGATAACCGAGAATCTCCACAGACATTTCTCTCTTTTAGTGGCCTATTTGAACACAGTTTTTAAGTGGGGAACATAAAGGTGGGATATCAGTTCAGTCATACGAACTGGAGATTCTTGTTGAAAACCCACTTTAGGACTGTCAAAGTGAGGAGATGGAGCTTTTTTTACAGCATGATCACCAAAACTGGATGCCATATTCCAAGTGTGGCCTTACCAAGGCTTTATAAAGTGGTACTATCACATCATGTGATCTTTTTTTTTTTTATTGCAAAAGTTTTACAATTACATTTTCACCCCTTTTCCCCCCCACCCCCCCCAAACTTCCCAACCTCCCTAACCCTCCCTAACCCTCCCCTCCCCCCAGACTTCCCTATAATATACTCATACTCATAAAGAACCCTAATATAACACTTATATATAAACTTGAACCCCTCCCTCCCCTGTATAATTTTTCTCTTTACCTCATTACATTAAAAAATTTCCAATACATTATTTTCAAATAAAAGCTATTTGATACTTTCTAGTTTGATATTTGTTCTGAATGTATTCTATCCACCTTTTCCATTCCCACTCATAAGTCTCTTGTGAACAGTCTTTTAAATATGCTGAAATCTTCGCCATCTCTGCAAAACTAGCCATCTTCAAAGTCCATTCCTCAATAGTGGGCAAGGCTTCATTCTTCCAATATTTACCTATCAACAATCTTGCTGCTGTTATCATATACAATATCGATTTTGTTTCACCCAATGTAAAACCCTTAACTATACCCAATAAAAACAGTTGTGGAGAAAATTGAATTTTTTTCCTCAAAACATTCTGCATGACCCACCAAATTTTTATCCAAAAAGCCTTAACTTTCCTACAGGTCCACCAAACATGATAATACGTAGCATCCAAACATTCACATCTCCAAAATTTTGGCTGAACATTAGGGTACATACATGACAACTTTTTGGGATCTAAATGCCATCTATAAAACATTTTGTAGAAATTTTCCCTCAGATTCTGCGACTGTGTAAATTTAACATTCTGAACCCAAATTTTTTCCCATGTTTCCAGCATCACTGGTTCTTCAAAATTCTGTGCCCACTTAATCATACAGTCTTTAACTAATTCGGTTTCTGAATCTCTTTCTAGCAAAACATTATAAAGCCTTTTGATATGCATTGGACCTTTCTCTCTTATATGTCTAACCAATTCTTCCTCATGCAACATAATACCAGTTTTTTGGTCCTCTTTCCATCTCAATTGTAATTGATTATATTGTAGCCAAGTTAAATTAATCCCTTCGTCCAACAGTGTCTGCAATGTCTTCAGCTGCCATCTGCCCGCATCTGTAAAAAGAACCTCTTTATATAAACCCCCCCCGAGTGACATTATATTTGTATTCCACAAACCGGACTTCCGGTTTCCCTGGACTTCCGGTTTCCCTGTCTTCGGCGACGGCGGCGCCCTTTGAAGCTCCGCCAGCCCCGCCGCCCGTAGAGCCGCTCCGAGACGAGGAAGCGGCTCGAAAACTTCTAAATCCGTAGGATTGAAGAAGGAGAGATCGCAGGGCACAGGTCGAGCCCCTGTAACCCCCCAAGGAAGTTTCTGGGGAGAGAACAGGCGTGGCTCCCTCCCAACCTGCTGAAACTCCGGGCGACGTGGGACGATTCTGCCTTTGCAGAACAAGCCGGCTGCAGGAAACTTAAAGCGAAAGAACCAGCTTTAATCAACAGTGAAACTATCCGAATCCTGAATCTTGGAAACGCAAGTATCAGCGCTTTGTTGACTTTTCAATCTGAGAAAACGCGAATGAGTGAAAGTGCTTAGAAAAAACATGGCGTTTAGCCTCAGAGTTAACGAGCCAGCGAGTGTGGATTGGTGAAGTTATTTTGCTTTGTTACAAAGTTTCCAAGTTGCTACAAAGTTGTCTTGCTTGTTATAAGAGAAACAATTGGAAAATTTCTCCCTTTCAAAATTTGACTTTGCTTTACTTCAACCTTTATTTGATCAAATCTGGGGGACTTTTTTAGAAGTCTTTGTGCAGGAGGGAAAGGAAAAGGAACTTCCCTCTTTAGAAAAACTAGATCACGTGGCAGGATGGCTTCAAAGAAGCAGGAAGGGAAGGCAACAGGGGGGGGATCCCCCACACATAAACATGAAACACAACTTCCCCCTGCTCAGCAGTTACAGACTCAGAAAAAAGAATTTGATGTGGGAGATTTAAAAGAATTTATTTCTAAAACTTTGGATGATAAATTTCAAAAATCTCAACAGGAGATAGATGATAAACTTCAAAAATCACATCAGGGGATAGATGATAAACTTCAAAAATCACACCAGGAATTTATGCAGGAAATTAATGAAGTTAAAGATATGGTGAAACAGAATCAAAACAAGGTGACCAAAAAAATATCAGAAGCGGCATCTGGCCTGGCAGAATTTATTGGGAAAGTTGATTTTAAAGTTGAAGAACTTAAATCAGAAGTTAATGTTAAGATGAAAGACAATGATTATAAAATTGCTGATGTTGACAATAAAATGCAGAGAGTTGAAGACGAGATTGTCATGATACAATTCAGGGCAATGGAGTTTGCTATACGGCTTCGAGGAATTCGAGAGGAGGAAAGACAGGATTTGAGACAAGTCTGTTCTGAGGCCCTGGCTAAGATTTTACAAGTTAATCCAGATGTGGTTTTTCACAAAATAGACAAAATTTACAGAGTGAACTCTTGGGTGGCCAGACAAAGACAATTACCTAGAGATGTAGTCATATATTTTACAGATAGAGAAATAAGAAATGATATCCTGCAAAAATCCTTTTACACTTCTGTACAAGTGGGGGGCTCACGAATTGGAATTTATAAAGAATTGCCTCCTAAAATGCTGAAAGCTAGAAAAGAATTTGGTTTTCTCGTTAAGGAATTGCAAAATTTACAGATACCTTTCCGGTGGGACGCACCAGTTGGCATAATTTTCAGATACAAGGGAGAAAGATACCGTTTGAATACCGTGGAGAAGGCACAGCACTTCTACACTACTATTCTCAAGGAAAGAACACCATCTCCACGTACATCTACAGTTTTGGAGATTAAAGAGAGTGAAGAGAAGCAACCTCAACGAGAACTGCAAGAACAGTCTAAGCAGGAATTAGAAGAAGTGCAAGGTGCAGAAGGAGGTTTTCTGGATGAGCCCTTGCTGGAATCTTCTCCAATCTTGGACCCGGTTCGGATGATTGAAGTTAAGGATCAACGTATAACTCGAGCTCAAGCTAAGTTACTTAAACAAAAGCAACAACAACAACAGGAAAGACAAGACAAGGAGGCAGATAAGAGTACTGCACAAGAGATTGGAGCTATGGGAGGAGCGAGATCGAAGCTTTTGGATGATCTTCAATTATTTTGCTCTTTGCTCCAGAAAGAGGCTGATGATGCTTAAGTGTTTATCCTGGAATGTTAATGGGTTGAATTCAGCACAGAAAAGGAAGAAATTATTTACATATTTGAAACAATTTAATAATGATATAATTTGTTTACAAGAAACGCATATCACAACTCAAGATCAAAAATATTTGATAAACTCCAAACTAGGAACACATTTTATATCTTCAACTTCGCAAAAAAAGAATGGTGTGGTAATTTATGTAAATAAAAAGTTAACAGCTAAAGTTATAG